AACTTTTAATTTATTCAATGTGGTCCATAAATTGTAGCCTAATGTACAATATGGTCCCTAAACTTTCAATTTATTTAAAGTGGTCATTGGATTTTTGGTACATGTTCTATATGAAATATATTTGATATTGTCCCTGAACTTGAACTACTTGAAGGACAACATTGAACAGTTTTATATAGTTCGGGAACTAAGTTAAACATGTATTAAAAGTCTAAATATCACATTGAACAAATTAAAAATTCATGAACCACATTGCACATTGGGCTAAGGTTCATGGATTATATTGCACATTGGACTAAAGTGTAGATACCATTTGTGTCATTATCCCTAGCCAAATCAAGCCACGCTAATCTTCCTCATATGTGTCCATGAACCATCTGGGCCCCCAAATCTGTTGGGCCTCCAGTGAATAATGTGCATATCTAAAGCGTGGTTTATCTTCTTTGCCCAAATATTATCACCCCCTCGACATTTCCCAGACATGTTAGAGGGGAAAGCCTTGGCTTCATCATGTTGACTTAACCTTTGAATCCATGAAAAGATGCTTCATACAGGCTCAATAACCCCTTAACATATCCCCCTCAGTGATTCTTCGAAACTGCTCGCATTTTATCATGAATCTTTCAAACAAGCCTTGACATATGAGCAACATAATTTATAATTGCGCATCGCAAAATAGTATATATATTCGAATAACATTTTGCATATTGTATCTCTCTCATTTGGCCATGCTTTCGTTGCTCTAGGAGAAAGAATCATTAGGAATGAATGTTTTTTTAACGGTATAATTTTGTCATATTTATTTGCTATTGTAGTGAGTGAGTTTTTTTTTTTTAAAAAACGAGATTTATTTTAGAAGCCTCACTCTTTCGTGGTCCAATAGCCACTTTCATTGCTAGTGTTGTACATGGCAAGGAAACAAATCATTATAGCTGGAGTAAGCTTGTCGATTTCAGAGATATCACATCTCCAACATTTTCATTATGAGCATGACATTAGTATTAACTCAGTATTAGGTTATACATAAAATCTCGAGAAAATTAGGATGATCTAATGCACAAACCTATCAATGAATTTCATCAAGAGCTGAAGTTCTTCCCACGAGGGTCAAAAACGTCATAAAATCGTCCATCAACATGATCAAACGTGTGATCTTGGTGCTCATCTCTTTGAAAGCTCCAAATTGCGGTTCATAGACCATTAAAGCATTCCATAAGTGATGTTCCATTAGTTTATCCTGGAAAAAGTCCGTCTTGTTCGACCCAAATTCACCCACAACCCGAAAGAGATTGAAGTTCGCTGGATAAGAACATAAGAGAATTCAGACTACTAAGGTTGTTATTGGTTGATTGCTCAGTGGCCCGGTTTGATCCAATGATTTATTAGCATGATAAGTATATATTAATATGAATGAGATTACGTCGTTTATGGGTAGATTGTTCAAAGGACGGGCTGGGTATAAATAGTATAAAAACGTTTGGTTAAAATTAAAGTTATTTTCTTGAACTGATGTCCAATTTACCAAAAGGGTACCAAAAGAAAGTCCCCCATGTAAATAAAGAGGGGTAAGGATACGGAAAATGCCATAATTTTTGTACGATGCTCACTTGAGTGTCATAATATTTTTCTGACCACTTGAGTGCCATAATTTCTAAAAAAAAGGACACTTGAGTGTAATAACTTTCAAATTATCACTTGAGTGGCATAGTTTTTTTAAAACGTTCACCCATGTGCCCAAAATTTGACGAGCACGGCACTTGTGAACATTTTTAAAAAATTATGGCGCTCAAGTGATTATTGATTGGAAATTTGTATGGCATTCAATTGATCGGAAAAAAAAGTTATCGCACTCAAGTGAACACCGTAAATAAGTTATAGGTTATGATACTTATGGTGTCTTTTCTCTTAATAAAGAGTATTCAATAATAAGAAGCAGTAAAAAGAGAAAAAAAAAGTAATTAGAAGGGACCCCGTGTGGGTGGAGAAGCCTGGATCAGAGCGATGTGGCGTGGAGATCTTCATCAAAGCCCAAACCCTATTGGTTGTGCCATTGAAAATGGCTTGCAATGCATTCTTGATTTCTACCTCAAAATGGTATACTAATCCGAGCCATCGAACTGCATGATCTGCTCGACACCTATTTGTTGATGAAAAGTCTATAGCAAATCTAAATCTAAAACAAACAGACATTATGTTGGTTTTATTTAACCCCGTGCCCTTCAAATTGTTAGCCCGCTCATTTTCTGCCTTATCTCTGTATGTTTTTATTGACCATGGAAATGTTTAAACCTAAATTACTGTTGATAATAAAAATATTTTTCATCAATTAATTATTTCAAGCAATACAAGCAATAATCTTTATGAAAATATTTTTCAAATCATTCATTTTCCGCGAAATAAACGGAACCATATTTTGATTTTTCTTTTGCTCATCCTATGAGGTCATCAATATCAATTTAAGCCCCCAGGAGACAAATGAGTTTGCAACATCAAGACTAACAAAATGATGAATCTCAGAAAAACTAGACGTATAGTCATAGTTCTCTCAAGAAGTCTTTCAAATATATATTAAACTTGTGCATACATTCTTTTAAGTAGTAACTGCAACAGTTAGATACCTTAGATACCACAATCAGTGCCAACAGAGAAGGAGGAGAAAGGGTTTCTAAAGAGTAAGAGAGATGGTTGGCGATGGCGGATTGAGGAGGGAAGGAAGCTCGTGCACAAAGCGGGAAGAGCCATTGCTTATTTGCTGCCTCTGGTACGTGGTGCGTTTAAACCACTCTTATACGCATGAAGTTGTTATGGAACTAGTCACAAGAAGAACTTTGGAGGCCTTGTATCAATTTGGAGAAAGCTATATTTGGCATAAAAAATAAGACATTGCCCAACCGTGTAATAGAGTATCAAGTATGAGTAATGTTACATGTGCTAAGGTATTGTACTAATTTCTTTTACTAAATAACGTGACAGTTTCACATTTGATGCTTAAACTAGTCAATCATATAAATCATGAGTCTCATATGTGTTAGCTTTCAATCGGAACTCGACATATCATATAGTAAAGAGGTTTTCGTGAGGTTTCTCAGTAATTCTGTCATTCCTTTATCAAATATAGTGGGGATCAAAGTTGGAAAAACAAAATAAGAAAGTTCTTAAGAAAAAGCAAATAAACAAATTGAAACTTCCATTCATTCAAAGGATTTATCGTCCAATGTTGATTACATTATAAACATCTAAGTTTTTGGAAGCTTTCGAGTATTTGGGATGGCGTAGCCAACGCCGATAGCACCTATGTTTGGGGGGAATCATTAAAGCTCGATCAAAACGAACCTTCATTTCTATGAGCTTATGCAGAAAACTAGACAACTTGCGTGAGTTTCGTGTACAGTGCGGTCATTTATTTTGTTTTTTATACCAACTTGGAGTTATTTAATGAATATGTACCTGCATGTATCAGATTTGCTTCGTCCAGTCAAGTGGGGGTAGCATAAATTTTACTAATCAGATGGTAATCAAATATCTTGCACATACATAAAGAGAGACCAAGCTAGAGCATAGGATAATTAGTTTGATAGTCGGTAGGGGTAACTTCAATAAGTTTACTTTGCCTTATCCGACATACTTTTATAACTTTAAAAAATATACAAACAGCATTACACAACTTTAAATGTCCATATACACTTGTGCTGTTGCAAGCAATAAGATTGCTTCCTTTAGGATATGTGGGTGTTTTGTTAGATTGTAAATACTTTTCTATTGTCTAACCATTTTCAACAAACTAAACATGTGAAAGTCTATAAAACTAATTTGTGGAAAGCTGGTCTAGCAAACACACCCAAAATTTTAAACTTTCCTTTTGTGCAATTAGTCTTAAAACTTGCAAGTTCAATGCATATGTTTCCTTCCATCAATTCCAAAAGTTTCTAGTGGATGGCAAATGTCACATGACTATTTTTATTTTAAGCCACGGGGCGTTTTCTGCAACAAGTTTTAGGACTCCTATTGAAATGCTCTTATCAATAATCATTAAGCTTATTAGACTACATGGCAAAACAGCTATGCCACAATGTCTTGCCATGTGGCAAGCACAAAGGCAAAGTGAAGTACCACGTGTTGAACATTGGAGCAAGCATTCTCACTGGGCTCGTTAGGCCATGTGTAAAAAAATATGCCACGTATTTTGTCACGTGGTAGTGTGGAAAGCATTGAGGCAAAGTGAAGTATCACGTTGTGAGCACAAGAGTGAACATTCGCTCAGTCTCGAGTTTTAACTCTATATAGTAGATGGGATCTTACATGGTTAAGGGTTTATGTAGCACATGATAGGCTAATAACAGATTTGAGAATCGCGCAATTGTACACATAACACCTGAACTTCCACATTAGATTGAAAAATCAGAGAGCTTATGATGCTATACATACATGCGACCTACTCCCAACTAGTTAAAAGTACTACTTTTAGTGTTCCGCCTACGAACTAGGCCGATTCAATAAAGATAAGGAGCAACCACTTGGGTAGAGAACTTGGATAACATGCGGCTCGCGAAAACTTCTCAAGAGGTGAAAGGAGCGAGCGAGGAGGAGCAAAGTATCTTGGAGTGGTATGGATGGACATAACGATACTATGTTTTAAGAAGGGGAGTATGTACGTACATCGGAGAGAACTTGCAATGTTATTCATAAGTTAAAATTTCATTTGAAATGGTTACTACTTTTTCTGCTTTTATATGCTCGGCCCATATGAATTGGGCTGATACATTACAGTGAACTAGTTGAAATTAGGCCCAATTTAAAACAAATATTGGACCAATAGTGTGCTGTCTGTGGGCAAGCACGGTGGCAGTCCATTGTTGAAAAGGCCGATTGCTCAAGTTTCCCGGCAATTGACAAAACACCCAAAGCGAGAGTTATTCGTGTTCGCTCGTTGGATCGTATTTTCGGCTCTATTGTAAGAAGAGACGTCCTAGTCTCCTCCGAGAACTCACGACAGCAAGCAGTGAGAAAACAGCACACCGTGATTCAGATTTTGTACACATTGAAATTACATGACACAAAATCATAGGACACATTAACCCGTTCTTAATACGCAGGAAATGCGTAAAGTATCAGATGATTCGATCACTGATCTCACAATCTTAATCATGATTAACTCAAATCTCTCCCTCCCTCTAAAACGTGTATTGGCAGCTCCCATCATCACTCCTTGCTGTCGGGTCAAAGTTGGCCGCGTTCGGGTCGGTGCATCCTTCAGGCACGGGGACATTTACTTGCTGAGCTGCTTTGCCTGATCAAGAACAACCCGGAACAATTACACTAATCAGAAGGATATCAGTAAAACGAGAATTTGTTTTCGCACACATTTGTCTGACATATGCCTTTTCAAAGAACTCATAAGAAGAAGGACTTCTTTTGGGTTAACAAATGTACCTTCAATAAACGAAGGCCGATTTACAAAAAAGATGTTTACTACGTGATGGACATTCAAACCTGACAACTAATGTTTAGTAAAAGCTATAATTTGAATCCAATTCTAGGTTTTTTTATATCCAAACCTACAGGGCGTGTACAGAAGCAAACATGTTTTTATGGAGGTAAAATGGAAAGAGAGTTGTATGTGACTGACCGTAGAAAGTGCCACGGTTCATGGCGTCTTGGTTGGCATCACCAAGAGCGGCCTCGCTCAAGTACTTGTCCGCCAACTGGACTCTCTTGACGTTCTCTTGCTCCTGGACAAGCATGTTGCCGTACTCCAACAGCTTCTCGAGGGTCATCTTCGGCTGGTCGAACGTCGGAGGCCCTTCCTTTGAGTTCACCAGCTTCTTCCCGATGGTGTCCACCCCGACGCCCGAAATCCACTTCCTCACCTCGTCGTCGTACACTCTTGCCCTCAGGGCTCCAAAGAAATCTGCCAAATTTCGTACGATCGCATTATTATTTATACTTGAATACTGATCAAGCCCCAACTTAATCGTCAAACGTATGTTCTTTCATATAAATTTCTAGGTAAAGAGAGCTTGAGGATACTCACCAATGGATTGTCCAGGGAAAGCATCAACTAGCTTCACAACATCCTCACCAGCCACATTGTCAGTCCTGAAGATCCCCTTGCAGACCCCGATGCGGTCATCACGGGTTGGGGCCCAGTAGAACTTCTCCATACGCCCGTCACGGATGAGCGGTGCATACAGCGTGGAGAAGTCGTTCCCTGTGACGATGACCGGGACGCGCGGGTTCTCCTCCTTGTTGTACATCCCGGGGAGCTGGACATTGGTGGGGTTGTCGGCGATGTTCATGAGGGTGGCATTGACCATCTGATTGTTGACCGTGTACTGGGTGGTCCCGCCCATACGCCCGGCACCGGCATCGAGATCATTGATGAAGAGGCAGCACATCTTGCCTTTCTTGATGATGTCGGCGGCTTCACGGTACCTCTGTCGGATCAGTTTCGCAGGCTCTCCGGCATTGCCACTTTCCAATTCTCCGGCACTCATCATAATGGGGCTAAAATGCAAACCAAACAGGATAGAATTGAATTATTTTTAGTTGGGCGACCAGTAATAAATTCAATTTGTAATTTTCCACATCTTAAAATGATACATCATGGGTAATTCAGAATCATCTGATTCTTTTTCGAAGTGACAAAGTGCATATGCGTGACTTACTTGATTCCCATCTTGGCAAAGACAAGCTCACATTGGAAAGATTTTCCCTGACCTTTGCCTCCCCAGATACCAAGGATTAGTGGAATCTGTACAGAAAGAGGACATCTTATTCATGTTTCGTTTAATTCCTAGACAGAAATTTACCGACAGAACAAAATCAACTAAATCACTTGAGGCAGACCTTGATGTTAGGGAGGGTCATGAAGTTCTTGGTGACATGAACAACAAGCTTGTCCATGAAGGCTGGTGCAATGTAGTATCCACCCATGGTGTTATCAAAGTCGTACCTTCATTCAAAAGTTTATACAATAAATCAGCTGCACCACTTGACCAAATACCAAGAACAAAAATCTAATGAGGCTTATTGGTAATGAAATCATTTTAAGAAAATAATTTGGCCAAAAGTAAAAGAGAATATTATCAATGGGAATGTTTTTCTTCCTTACTGGCGGAGCCCGGTGCTGATGTAGTCGTAAGAGCTCATGACGGCATAGTGGGTGCCGGTGTCCATGGGAGCTTGGAAGAGGGAGTCGACCATTCCCTTCCCGCGGGTGATGTCCTGCTGGTCATCCGAGGTGTCGTATGCGAGCCCTCTCCACTTGTCCTTTTCGGTCTGCTTCTCCTCGTCGTCTGCCATCGCGCACACTCGCAAGCCACCGGAGGGCGAGGCAACCTTGGGGAGCTTCGGAGTCATCTTCTTCAAGCTGCTTCCAAAGAAGGCTGAGCTTGGAGCCGATGCTCCGGTGTTCGAGCCATTTAGGTTGAGCTGCATTAGCATCCACTCATCAAAAAATGAATCCACAAACTTCTTGTCAAAACATCCATGAATGTCAACATGAGCCAATTGTGTATGATCGATTAAGGAACTAGAGGACATTTTTCCCCCATCAATATTGAAAATAGAATCGGTATAACTGATTAATTAAAGTTAGGAGGAAAGAGTCCCCACTGTTTTTATTACACTGTTTACTATTCAATTTCAACATTATAATCGCCAAGGTGATTCTAATGACTTTAACACTCGGTCAGAGAAATGACCTATGTGTGTTTGGATCTAGTAGTTAGAAATAGGATCAAAGTATTTAAAGCGACGAAGCATGCATAGGTGTCACTTCGTCGGAGCTCCAGCTTCTGGCATAACCAAAGCCGAAGATATCACGGAAAGATCAGTGGATGGTACTCTAAGTTAATATCTAAGTCAAGTGAAAGAAATATTGACATTTCCTAAGTAAAAGGTTCACCTTATTAGAAGATATGAATTGGGTCATCACAGAAAATCGAAATTTAATTGACGAGTGCCTAACTATTGAGTTCCGAAATGAAAAACTTTAAGGTTAACTATGATTGTAAGGAAGAGACAGATAAAAACTCCTAATCAGACTGCGTTGCTTATCAACTTCATCCATGCTAAATGGTAAGTATGACCCCCTCTAAAACTAGTGTTGCATAACATCCTGAACGCATATTTTCTCAACGAACAGAAACACCATCTCCGAACTATCGACATATGCGTGTAGTGTCATGCTCAACCAGAGAGGGACTTTCTTTACCAAATCATTGAAAAGAAAGAACGAAAGAAAATGCCTTGACAACAGCAGTAACAACAAGGTATCACGTGACGATCTTGTACTACTAATTTCTATCTCTACAAGTTACGTGCACGAGCGAGAGAGAGAGAGAGAGAGAGATTACCGGAGCTCTGTTAACAGTTCCGACGGTGGGTACGGCAGTGGCCATCTCCGGCGACGACTGGACGTCTCTCCTTCGCTTCAGAAGCTTTCTGCGAAACAGAGAACCACTCACCACCCCCCAACTAAAGAGCAAGCTTTGAGAAGGGAGTGTAAGAGCAGAGGTGGATAACTTATAGCTGGGATAGATCGGGTGTGTGTCCAGGAATCGACGGGGTATCTGAAACTCCCTGACGGCCACACAATGCTGATCGCCTGGCGATCACACGTGGCAGAATTTGGAGTGCCCGTATCACATTCGCTCGTTGGTCCTTGAGGTTGGCGTTCGAGCATTTATCTCTTACGCTAAAATCTCTCAGCCATTAATAGCCACACAACCTAAGAAACAGACTTGACTTTCGTTTTATTGTCTTTTTTATGATTCCTAATGTCTTTTGGCTTTGCATGTGTCTGAGTCTCTGCTTGTCAAAGTCGCAATTATTGTAGCGTTTTACCTGAAATCTAAAAGGAAAAACGAAAAAGAAGCGGAGAGAAGATCTTTGTCCCTTGCAACAAAACCTATCTTGCGAGTTTGTACGATTTTCCCATTTCATCATTCTCGGAATAAGATGTACTCCATAATTTTTTCGGCATAGAAATGAGTGTGATGACTGGTCATTGATATTTTTAACATCGTCTTCAGCTTTATCGGCTTAGGCCCGTTAGCATCACAAAATGGGTATCAATCCGAATCTATGGGGGCATCTTATGGAATAAAAGTTAGAAGCTTTTTCTTTTCTTTTTTCTTTTAAATAATCCGCGGTACGGCTATCGAGACCTGACTGCCCGAAGGCCCATGAAATATCGTGCAAGCTCCATGAGCAGGTTAAATTTAGACATTTAACCTGTGTAGGTGGCCATGATCCAGTAAAAACATATCTCTCTCTTTCGCAATATCTTGCTCTCTATTATCAAAAACCTATCTTTGTCTCTCTCGATCATTCATATGCATGTACATGCACATGCTTGCTATGGTTCTTATTTTCCTAGTTTACTTATCAAACTAATATGATTTCCTTTAGGGGTAACAATCTTACTATTATGGTCATAATACTTTTGTCCCTCGAAGGAAATTTAACTCGCTTAGGTTGGCAGAATGTTATAAAACTTCGTGGAATAGGTTGTGCTCCTTGAAGAGATCAAGAAAAGGAAAGTACCGTTGCACCATGTTATAAAACTTATTGTAATAGGTTGTGATGACCGGTCATTGATTTGCAGGTCGTCTTCAGCCTTGCGGGCTTAGGCCCATTAGCATCGCAGAACAGGTATCATCCAAATCTATAGGGCATCTTATGGAATAGAAGTTAGAAACTTTTTTTTTAAAAAAAATTAATAATCTCGAATATGGCCGTTGAGACCTGACTACCCGAAAACCTATGAAACATCGTATAAGCTTTATCGGCCAATTAAATTCAGACATTTGACCTATACAGGTGGCCCTGACCCAATAAAAATATATTTCTTTCGTTCTTGATATCTTGTTCTTAATTATGAAGAACCTATCTATGTCTTTCTTGATCATTCATATGCATGTACATGCACATGTGTGCTATGGTTTTTTTTCCTAGTTCACCAATCTAACTATAATGATTTACTTGGAGGAAAAAATCTTACTATTAGGGTCATAATACTTTTTTCCCTTGAAGGAAATTTAACTCCCTTAAGTTGGCAGAATGTTATGAAACTTCTTGTTATAGGAGAGATCAGGGTAAGGAAAGAAACTTTGCACAATATTAAAGGGAAGTTCAATATTATGTTGTAGATAAACTATAGATAGAATGGTCAGAAACGAAGAGGATATAAAATTATAAATTAGCACTTATGAAAATATAGTTTGCAAAAAATGTCAAAGAATGGTAACTACCGGTAAAGAAAAAGAATTATACTATGTATCCTTATACATAATGGAAATGAAGATCAAGGATCGGAAACTATGATGTTTTTTTACTAAGTGATAAAACGGTATAATGTCAGGAACAAAATAAATAATTATCCAAAATAAAATTTCGTGGAATAAGAGGTACAACAGCGTTTACAGATGATAATTGTCATTTCTCTCATCACTTTCTTACTTGGACAAATTGATTTTTGTGGATTCTAAAGGAAATTTTCCTCCTTAAATTCAACTCCTTCATTTTCCTCTTGCTTCTTGTTACTTGTTATTCGGGAGAAAGAAATAAATTAGGTACTTCTCTATCCACTTTCTTCGCAATCTCTTTTCCTAACTTTCCAACTTGAGTAATGTCCGACCTAAAAAAAAAAACTTGAGTAATGATATTTTCGTAGTCATGTTGGTCTTATCCATGGCACCTTCCATAATTAAAACATTAAAAGCTTGTTTGACATTTGAATCTCTTTGTTTCTCAAGCACCTCTCATTCTAAAAACCTTGAGTTAAAGTGGGAATTGTTAAATTATATCTCGAATTAACGATAATAACCATCAGCATGATCATGTCGGACATGTGGCTGATGATACGATTAGCCAAGTCATTCTACTGCTCCTCAAATAACCTTCTCAGGTGGCCACCATATGAGGGTTTGGTACAACTTCTCTCCACTGCTCTTTAGTGAGCCATCAAGGAAGGTCTACCACTTCACATTGGCTTTCTTCTGCCGCTCGGTTGTGCTGCAACTTCATTCCCAGTTTATGGTGCTCGGTTGTTGTTACCAACAGCACTATCTAGCTCTTGTTGGGTCTGGTTCTCACCGTGGTGTTTCCTTATATCAACAAATAAGTTCACTGCGACGAAAATTCTAGACAAAGCATCTTTCTAAATTTTAATCAATATGAAAATCGATAAAAGATGTGAAGAGTCCTTTGTTGATTCTTGGACATGAAATGCGGATTGACAAAAAATTAAAGGTATGAAGACTGAAGGCAATCGTGGCCAGCCATGTACAAAAGGTACTTAAATATAAAAGTAACAAGAAAATAAAATAGAACAATTGGTGTTCATTGATTGATTGGTTATCCCTTCCTCAAATTACAATCCTAATATTTGTGGTTACTAGAAACGGCTAATAACAATTACAAAGAAAGCAGATAACAACCTGCGTGACTTCTAAAATTCAGCAACATATATTTACAAACGGTTACCAAAAGACTCACTGCTCGACGATTAGGGCCTCACCACTTGCTCCTACGTTAACGATTTCTTCCACAGCTCACAAACTCTCTTCTTGATGAGTATAACAGCCCATAACTCTCAACCACTATCGTGAGTGGCTTTCATGATTCTCAACTCTACGAATTAGTAATCATGTTGTCTGAAATCATTGGTCTCATGACTCCAACACTTATCTCGCTCTTGATTTGTCGATCTTCACTATAGCTGAGTTTGGTTTACCGACATCTCGTGGCTCAACACTTAGTAATTTTCTCTTGTGTCGCCTATCGGCAACTCCTCATCACCTTTGTTAACTATATGTAGTTGCCGACCAAAAGGACTTAGCAAATTTCATCTTAACCATATCTTGCTTGGTCTTATGAAGTCCGAGTTGACAGTTAAGAACTTGGGCAATTTTTGAGTGTCAATAGAAGTATCACTCATTTTTGTCTACAGAAAGGTCGCATCATCTATCGGACTTAGTGCAACTACCAAAAACTCATGAGACAACTGCAGAATCAAGTAATATGGATGATCAAGCTCATTTAATCCAAGTCGTGGTGGAAAAAAAGAAGGTAAAGGAGTCAAATGCTAAGCATAAACTCACAGCTAAAAAAATATGGGAGAAACAAAGTTCTTATTGAAGGGGATAAGGTCATATTTTGCTTTCGCATTGAAGGGTGTCGCGTGGCAATGAAAAACAAATAACAGGAAAAATACATACGTTCCCTAGCCTGTAAAAATCATCAAAATTAATGAAAATGAATATGAGATTAAATTGCCCAATGATGGCAGAATCTCTAAAAGTTAAAGGTATTAATTCAAGTTCTAGTTTTCCCCGATAAGGAGGGTATACATATAGAACTAGTAGCAAATGACTTGTTCGCGATAAGATTTTAGAGAGTCTCTCGTAAAACAATTGAAGTAGGGGTTTGATTGCGGTGGTCATTTCATCCACGATGTGGATTGGCAACTACTTATATAATAATAGTAGTGACAAACTGATCTTTTGGTTGGTCTATTTGTCCAAGACTCGTTTGCTAGCTGAAAATTATAAATGCGATTCCTCACTCTATCTTCGACCTCAGGAAAACCTCGACTAGTTTGCAATCAAAGGGCCTCTCAAAAGGCCTAAGTTTAGGTTTATTTTGGTCCTGGGCTTCCCCACTCACACCCGGTGGGCTACGTTAAGTACTCGTCTAGTGAGCACATGATATTTTGTTGGCGCCTTAAATCTAACATTCCATTAGCGAGTTAGATCGATTCCAATCCCATTCAGATTTTTTTTTCAATTTTGCACAAGAAAATAGTAGTGATTAGAAAAATAAAAGAGACATCTGATTTGGGCTCCGCGTGGCTATATTACAATCAAATGATGAGCTGTTTGACCCTATGCAACCATCAGTTCAGATTGCCCGAATTTAAGTAATGAGGCTTTGAAAGTAGTCACAATTTTGATTGGGAAAAGACATGGATTCTCTCCAAAATGCTCGACAGTATGTCACTTTCTCTATTACCATTTGCTGGGCTCCTTTCTACATAATTTCAATACCTTATTAAGTACAAGATTACAAAGCGACCCCAATATGTAAAGCAGCTATTCCATAAATTAACTCAACTCTACCACTAGAGATGGACAACAAGACTGTTTTGCCTTGCAATTTCGTGCAATTAGTTTGAACAATTCCTCGTATCTTAGCAGATTAGACAAATCACAAACCTTTCTTAATTGAGAAGGTGGTGGCATATGTGCGGGTGCACGGGGGTGGGCATGTATAGATTAAGATTAATGTTTCGAGAAAACCATCGAGTTCAAATGGCCATTGATGTGGACTCATTTGATATACCAAAACCAACCCCAGTTTGAAAGTTCTAATTGTCCATCGTACTTGAGAGCATGTCACTTGCTGCAATCGCCGGGAAGAGGAAGAGGAATGACAAGGAGAACCCTATTTGCTCGACTGTAAAGGAGATTATAGGGTAGGAACAATGAACAAAACATGAATAACCAGTTCATC